GATGTTAGAAATGGTAATTGTGTTTTTGACAAAAATTGTTACACCACCTCCTCTACCCAGACGATCAGATCGAAGAATGGTGTAGGAATCAAATAGAGGAAGAGCACTGGAGGGAAAATCTTCGTAAAGCCAGCTCTCACAAAATACAAAAATGTCATAATCGTAAAGTGAGGATAAAAGAGAAAGAGCAGAGAGCTTGTTGAGAATGGAACGACAGTTTGTGGAATAAATAGATATAGGAGGATAAGAGTTATCGGTGGAAAGGGTAAAAGCAGAATCATTTGCGAAAGGTGGAATGACTATTTTTGTTATTTCCTACGGTTACGCCAATATTGAGAGCAGAGGATATCTGCTGTAGGTTGGAAGACGAGGACCTTGGAAGTGAAGATGCACGTTGAAGCTTGGGATATTTCCGAGGTCGTTGATCGTAAGAATTAACGCTTGCGCAGGTCGAAAAAACCTCAGTCCGGTTTACATTGTTTTTCTTAGAGTTGCAAGTGATCTTGGCTGGTGGTTCAGTGAGAACAATAGCAGAGGGACTGTCAAGAGAACGGGGGTTGGGAGAAAGATCATGAGTGTTATCAGAAGACAATGCAGTTGATGAAGAGGATGAAGACAGGAGAGGTTCAGTGGAGAGAGGAGTAGCAACAAGTAGTTTGTCACTCGGCTGAGAGCTTGCATTGGTATCAGAATTTGTAATGGTCAGCGCTGAGTTATTAGAAGAAGACGACGACTCAGCAGTGACAGTAGGAGAGGTAACAGGTTTACTTAAAATTGCAAAATCCCTAACATAATGAATGGTGTTAGGGGTTGAAGAATTACGCTTGTTACATTCGGCCCAAAGCTCGCGTTCTAGCTTGATTTCACTTGGAAGGTATTCTCTGCGAACGAAGGATCTACGAAGGATAGTGTCAAAAGCGGGTTTGAATTTCCGGATAAGAGTGATTAGGTTGTCTCTGATATCCTTGGAGGTACAAGTAATTCTGATAGGAGGTGGAGAGTTGGAATTAGAGCTAATTCTAGTCAATCTAAGACCTGAAATTTGGTCGGTTTGGATGAGATTAGACATATGAGAGTCTCCGGAGAGATGTGCCAAAGAGAGTAGAAGGGAACGTACTGTAGATTGAGCAGTGGTGAATTTGAGAGAGACTTTGAACCAAAGAATATTACAACTGCGAGAAGCAAACCTTTTCTCTTCAGCATGATAGCGCACAATATCAGAGTAAAGATTGGAATCACCTGGGACACCAGGGGAGGGAACAGGCTCAGAACATTTTATGAAAGATGCAACAGAACTATCAGAAAGAGCCGAGAGTTTTTTTTCAAGAGCAGAAATTCTATCGTCATGAGAACAGACGCTGTTTTCTACAGAAACAATGTGATTAGATAGCTTGTTGATAGCCTCAGGAATGTCCCTAACGGCACTCTCTAGTTTAACAACGACAGAAGAAAGACTACTGACGAGCGACTTAAGGCATTCAAAATCGGACATGATGGAAACGAATGCAAATGAGATAAGTACGAGGAACAAGATACGGTGAAGTGAAAAACACGGTAAAAATACACTGATTTCTAACAATCAATACCTATTTAATCCACAGTCCAAAAAGATGACAAATACCAAAAATCAATAATAGTGTTGATAGAAGAATACTAGAAAATCGATATCAGAGCCGTAGTAGACACGACCTACCGCGATGACGAAAAGTGCGCAACTGACTAAGATAATGTATCATATATCCAAGCACCACAGAGCTGCTTTTTTTCGATTCACTAGTTCTACAAAAACTGCTAAAATTTTACTGGAAAAAGTCACTCACAACAAGATATCCGAGACACCTACAACAAACGTGACATACTCAAATGAGGACAGACTAAACGTGGTGTCGATTTGAACATTAGCACCAATTACAGGATAGCAACCACTCGCATTCGAACATTGGAAATAATGTTCTTCAAGAAAATAAGATCAATACTTCTAAAAAAGAACCAACTCAATTCTGTTTCTATTTCTCTATCGCTCAAAGTAAATATACTACGAACTTCAGTTTGGTATTCAATCAAATCTGCTATCGGAGGAAGAGCTGCATTGAAATATCTCAAGGCTGCTGGGAAAACTACTAGCACTCCCAGGAATATATCACCGTTTTCTGAAAACTGTAATAACATTCTGAAAAGAATTCTTACCTTTAGTTTCGATGACTGGCTTATCCATATGCTCTTCATTATGAAAAGATTTCTTCAAGTATCGGTCATATATTTTATAAGCGTTTGTCGCGGCTTTTCTTTCTTCATTGCATTTCACATGATTAGGACATGATCGCACCAAATTGGCCATCTGAAAAAAACTAGTATCTCTTAGAAGCGTGTGAGCACCTGTTGAGAATCAACTAAGTCTCCACTTTCGAAAAGCATTTTTTTTGCTTGTACTGTCGTACGGTATTCAAGAGCTTTTTTTATTTTTGTTGCTTCCGACGGAAGAACTCTCTGTTTTTTTTG